GACTTTCTGTCTCCCTCCACTGCCAATAAAAGGCCTCCTTTCGGAAGGGATATGGTGAGTGGAGAGGCTGGAGAAGTGGGCACGGCCCTTGAGGTGACAAAGGACCGAATCTGCCCACATCAACACACTTGGGGACTGCTCTGGAGGCAGTGGGGAGCCCCAGAAAAACTTAGCAGAGAGCGAGCATTGTCTGTTTTATACTTTAGAAGCATCATTGCTGGAATCAAGGAACCCCTTGAATGCTGTAGAGGTGAGTGAGAGTGAAGAGATGAGATAAGGGATGAGGCCTGGGGCACCGAAGAGAAGGAGGACTCCAGCTTCGGGGTTGGCTGAGGAGCAGTAGAAAATACTCTAGAGGCAAAAGGAGTGTGTTTGGGGGCAGAGGGAAGCAGAGAGTGCCCTATTTCAGGCATGATGAGTTGGAGGACCTATTCAGAGGATGGACAGAGACGTTTGGAATGTAAGGGACTGATCTGAAAATATCCCTTGATTGAAGGCACAACATATTAAAGAACTCAGCAAGAGCTGTTGAGGTGGGGAGAGGAGGCTGCAGGCTGAGGATGTGGACCTGGGAAAACGAACGGGAATAGTAGCTGTGCTTCAGAGGGCCCTGGGTGAAGACAGAGGGCAGGGGGCCCAGGGTGAAGAGTAACTGATTTTTTAAAATATGCTTTATTTCCTGCCTCTCCCTCCCATTTCCTCCCTCCCTCACCTTCTGCCTTCCTTCCTTCTCAGTAGAAAGCATATGAAGGAAAATTTCTCACTGAGCCCAGTCTACCTTGTCTGGGGGGGTGGGTGGGGTAGGTGGGCTGGGTGAGGGTACTGGGGACCAAACCCTGGGGTACTCTACCACCAAGCGATATCCCCAGCACTGACCTTGCCTTTTTATTTTCTTTTTTTAATTTTGCGACAGAATCCTGCTAAATTGCCCAGGCTGGCCTTCAACTTGTGATCCTGTCACCTCAGCCCCTGGAGTAGCTGGGATTATAGGTATGGACTACCATACCTGGTTTTCCCACCTAATTTTCAAAATAAAAATGTCAACTGTACTTGCCAGGAAAACTCAAATGACACAGAAATTACAAAAATAAAAGTAAAAGCTTACCAGCCAGATTCCTGAGTTCTGAGGCCCAGAACACAGTTAGGCACCCTCTCAGCTCTGAGCCTGCTGTTTAGACTGCTCAGACCTCACACAAAACAATTTTGTGGCCACAGAAATCCTCTCCCACCCGTACATCTCACCATTTGCCACCTGCTCCTTTCCTACCGTAGAGTCTTTTAAAAAACCAGCCTGGGGGGAGCGCCAGTCTTCGGTCTTCGGGCCGGCTCCCTGCCCCTTAGGTTCCCAGAAGGAGCACCCCCCCACCCCCCGTGGTGCTCGGGAAGCCATGGGGTGGGGAGCGCCGGTCTTCAGCCGGCTCCCTGCCCCGTAGGTGTCTGGAAGGAGGGCCCCCGGCCCACGGGAAGCCATGTGGTGGCGAGCCCTGTTGCACGCCGGCCCTCAGGCCAGCCACTGCTGCTCAATTGAGAACTACCATGACACAGAGAAACAATGACACAATTGGCTCACCATGCACGGGCTGCAGATGCCCACCCACGGATGTGTGTGAACCATTCAAACATGGAGAAACCCCTGGGAATACATGCCATGCAACGGGTCAGTCTTGTTCCTGCCATTGAGAACCAGAAAGGTCCAGAGTCAGCGGAGGAGCAGCTGCTGAACAAGGACTCAGAGAACATGAGAATGCAGACTAAGCCCGAGGAGTGAGAGGTCCTGTGGACTGGGGTCATGAGAGCTGCTCGGAAACTGTAAACCAGGAGGACCTTGCACAATACCTGAGGAGACTCCCTGGAAGCCATTCTTCCCCTGACAGTACAGGCTGTGGTGGAGCTCCGGAGAGGTCTGCAGCAAGATTCCTGCTGCCTGTGCTGACAGTTGGGGAGAGGACACTAACTGGTTGTGGGATCCCAATGCGATGGGAGGCTGGAGAGAAAACGCTACAAAGAATGGCTTTTGCCCCAGATGGCTCACTTGAGATGTTAGTAAGAATTGCCTCCTCAGTATTCTATAGCCATGACGAAGAGGAGGCCAAGGAGAGAAAAGAAAGAGACCGAGAAAAAGCAGCTGCTTTTGCTGCACCACTAAGAGAAACAGATCCCAAGTCTGATTCCCGGGGCCCCAAGAAGAACTTGATGACTGCATTCATCTGCTACCACTGTTAAAAGCCAGGCCACCTCAAGAGGAACTGCCCTAAGAGGCCCCATGGGCCATGCCCTGAATGCAAAGGTGACCAGTGGAGATCAGTCTGCCCTCTGAAGCGGAGGCCCCAGAGCTCAGACCCATGCTACCAGTTAGTCCAACAGGAATGAGGGGCCCTGGGCGTACTCTGCCTTCTCCCTCTGGCCAGACTGTCCTCTCCATGGAGGAACCCTGGGTAATCATGACTATGGAGGAACAAGAAAACAGCCTGTTGCTAGACACAGGTGCAAGTCTCTTGGTCCTTCTTTTCAATCCTGGCCTTTTTTCCAGCCATCACACCTCAGTGACAGGAGTCACTGGTGAGGAGGTAATATGCTATTTCTGACAACCCTTAGGCTGTAACTACTTGTTAGATCCTTCTTGCATATCTCTGTCTTCCTGAGAAACCACTTTGAAGATACCACTATATATTACAGCAGCCACTGATATTTTCCTACTAATCTATCCATAACTCTGTAATGTTTGTATTGTTCCTATCCTATTTCGTAAATGGATGCATGTCTATTATTATGTGTTTCCTACAACAGCCATTGAGATAGTTAATGATTATTCAATAGGTCACTCATGTGTAGCTCTAGTTTCTTTAGAAGCCACTTTGAAGATATCAAAGTATAGTACAACAACTATTGATAATCTCCTACCTCTTTTATCTGTAACTCACTATTTGTCTATTTGTTTTCCTGAGGAGCTATCTTGTAGATAACAATATGTAAAACAATAACCATTGATAATTTCCTACCACTTTGTCTGTAATTTGGTAAGCCCCCCTATTATTATGTTATCCTTCTTTTAGTCTTTAAAATAAAAAAAAACCAGCGTGTCTTCCAAAGCTCTTTCCATTACAGACCCATATATTGTCATTCCCGACTGTCAGAGTATTTGTCAGCTCTCTTCTTACTTGTTCTCCATAGCAATCAGAGGTTAATTACTGGTCACCTTTTAAGCGTCTATCTTGGTTTCCATAGTGATTTCCTTCCTGCATCTCTGGAAATCTGCTGCATTGTGGAACCATCTGCAGCTCTTTCTGGTTGTCTTGGCACTTTTTCTTCTCCCTCTCAGGTGTTGTCTTCTGACAGCCTCAGCTACTGTTTGACCACATTCCGGGAAGGAGCTTGGATTTAAGTTGGGCTATGTTCCTTCCTGGCTGAGTGACTAATTTTCCACTTCTCTGACACCAAGTGGGTGTCTACAGTTAATTAAATTGAATTCTGAGGCTAAGCATGCTAAGTTTGCAAAGGCCCACAGACTACCCTTCACTTAGACACCAGCCATAAATGGGGTATTCTGACTACCTGCACGTCTGTCTGACCAGTTACAAATTGTAGGGTTCTCACAGCCCTTTTTCATTTTTAATAATTCCTTAGAATAACACAGAATTCAGTAAAGTGCTGTAGTTGTGATAATAGGGTTATTAGAAAGAATATAACTCAGGGAGAGTCAAATGGAAAAGGTGTATAGGGCAAGGTATGGCGGGTGGAAGTGGGAGCATGTGGTAAGGGGTGAGGTGAGAGTGGTCTGTTGGTGCACAGGGCTTCCAAGCTCCCTCCGGGCACAGCCCATCAAATTCACCAATTTGAAGCCAGGTGTTGTGGCACATGCCTGTAATCCTAGCACTCTGGAAGGCTGAGGCAGGAAGATCAAAAGTTTGAGCCCATTCTGGGAAAATTAGTGACTTAGGGAGATGCCGTCTCTAAATTTAAAAAGGGCTGGAGATGGGGATGTAGCTCAGTGCAGAGGCCCTGGGTTCATTTCCAAATACTTAAAAAAAACTTCACCAACTCGGAAGGTCCCTAAACATTGTCTGTCTGAATTTTTAAAATTGAAGTTCTATTATACAGCCAAGATTGAGTGAACCATTGGCCATTGGTGTTTGAACAGAGAACAGGGCTGAAATTTTCTGACACTCTAGTCACACAGTTGTTTTCTGAATCCTGAAGCTCACTAGGGGTCCTGGCTTGAGTTAGATCATTAGCATAAATAGATGTGGTTGAAAGGGGCTTGTAAGGAATAGCAAAAGACTTTCCCTCAGGAAATTCCCTTTGTGTCCTTCGAAGTCTGTTCTGAAAGTTTACCTTTCCTCACTAAGCCATTAAATATTAGGAGTCTTTATCACTTGGTTCATTTATTCAGTCATTTATATAAGCATCATATAGATCTTAAATATCTGTAGCTATCTCTGTATCTATGTATATCAGATTTTCTTTTCTTTTTTTTTTTTTTTTTAGACAGGGTCTTGCTATGTAGTTCAGGCTGGCCTTGAACTCATTATGCAGGCTGGCCTCAAACTTGCAGCAATGCTCCTGCCTCAGCCTCCGAAGTGCTGGAATTACATGTATGTACCACTGTGCCTGCTCAGATTTTCTTTTAAGCCCTGGGGATGTAGTAGTGAATAAAATATGAAAATTCTAAAATACCAATTATGGGTGTTATTATGCATTTCACAGAAAGTTCTACTTTATGGTTTTCATTATGCAATCCTGATCTGATTTGTTTGTTTGTTTGTTTGTTTGTTTGTATTTTTTGAGACAGGGCCTCACTACATAGCCCAGGCTGGCCTTGAACTCACAGTGATCTCCTGCCTCAGCCTCTGAGTGCTGGAATTACAGGCGTGCACTGACATACCTGGTCTGACCTGGTTTTTTTCAACATTGCTTGTGTAGAGTTCAGAGTTAAAAAGGTAATCCTTAGAAGGCAATCAGAACCAAGGAAGACAACAAAGCAGAACTAAATGTGGAAGAAGATGACATTTGAACAAGGATTTGAAAAAAAGAGAGAGAACGAGAGTCAGCCCTTTGGGGATCTGAGAAAGAAGTATGCGTGGTTTTTCAGGGAGCAGCAGAGAGGTCACTGTGGCTGGGCCAAAGTGAGTGAGGGAATGTTAGGAAGGCCAGATTTACGGAGCTTGGCAGACCACTGCGGAGACTGCGGCTCTCCCTCCGGGAGAGATGGGAAGCCCGGGGAGAGCTTTGAGAAGCGCGGGCAGGTCTGACTCCCGTGCGTTAACTGCGCAGCCCTGGTACTCCGGCCGATGGGTACAGAAGAGACCTAAGGGAGCCTGTCTTCCCTCTGCCTCAAATCCGTTTTCTTCCCTGTTACGGTTTGGATTGGGACCGGTCCCCAAGCCGGAGGCGGGGCTTGTGGAGGGTGATTGTTAGGAGGCGGGGCCTGGTCAGGGGCGGGTCACTGGGCGCAGGACCCGGAGGGGTCTTTCGCCCTTCCACGCCTCCGCTCTCTGCTTCCTGGCCACCGTGGTGTGAGCAGCTTTCCTCCTCCATGCCCCGCTGCCGTGTGGCTTCTGCCTTGGAGCCAGCCAGCCGTGGGCTGTAACTGAGCCAAAACACGCCCAGCGCCTTTAAATCGGTGTTCGGTATCGTGTCCCAGCAGCGAGAAAGTGACTGGACAGTTCCCCGTTTCCCGCTCCGGGAAGCAGTTGGTACCTACGGATACCAGAGCTGGATGATGTTCTGCCTTCTTCTCTGCCAGGTTTCACTCCAGTGTCAGTCACCGCGGAGCCCGCGAGAAGGCCACTGCGGTAACGTCGTTGAGAGAGGATAATGGCTTGGGTCGGGGTGGAAGCACTGATGGCAGTAATTTTAAATACATTTTGAGGGTAAAGGGAATGGCAATTGCTAATAAATTATAAGTGGGAGTGTCAGAAAAAGAGAGGAGTCAAGGATCACACCGGGCTGGGGATCTAGCTCAGCAGCCTAAGGCCCTGACAAGCAAGTGCAAGGTCAGGAGTTCAATTCCCAGTACAAAAAAAATTTTAAAAAAGGATCACACCAAAGACTTTGGCCTGAGAAATGAGAAGGATGGAGCCAAGGAAGGAAACCAAGGTGGGGAGATGTGAGAAGAACCTGTTTTAGTGAGAAAGATCAGTAGTTCAAGGTTCTTGCCTTAGGCTTGAGGCAGACACACAGACCCATGGACTAGAAAGGAGAACACACGCAGACTCACACACATTTGGGCACCTGACTTATAACAAATAGTAATTGAGAAGGGAAAACAGGGTTTTACTCTTTTCTAAACAAATGGTGGCAGATCTGTTGGGTATTTGATGGGGAAGAAAAATGAGCCTGATCCCATCTCATGCCCTGTGCAAAATCAATTTCAGGTGGTTTTTAGATACGTACATGAAGGGTAAAATAAACTTCCAAAAGATAGAAAGGAAGTTTATGACCATAGGTAGAAACAATGTTTAACAGTATGTAAGAATCATTAATCATAAGAGAGAAAGTGGGTAAAGTATACTTCATTATAATTAAGAACTTTTATTAGTCAAAAAGTACCAATTAGAGAGTGAAAAGGCAAGCCGAGTGTCTTTTTATCACATCTGATGAAAAGAACTCCTACACAGCAATAAGAAAAAGTTGAACACAACAACAGTAATAATAAAAAAACTCAAATAAGCACATTAGAAAAGAGGACCAAAAATAATGACCATAGCCATTAAAGCCCCCAATAATACCAAGTTTTGGTAAGGACGCAGAGCCCCTGGAATTCTTAGATTGTGCTGGTAAGAGTGATAATTGATAAAACCACTCTGGCAAACGCAGTATCTACTGAGGCTGAACCATGACTTATGACCCTATGATCTGATAACTCTGCTCCTAGGTACCTGCCCAAGAGAAAGAGTAAAAAGATAAGGAAAATAATGTTCATCATAACTTTCAAAAAATGCTGGGCAAGGGCTGGGGATTTAGCTCAGCGGCAAAGCGCCTGCCTGGCAAGCGCAAGGTCGTGAGTTTGGTTCCCGGTACCAGAGAAAAACCAAAAAAAAAAAAAAAAAAAAAAAAAAAAATGCTGGGCATGGTAGCACATGCCTGTAATCCCAGCACTTGAGAGGCTGAGGCAGGAGGATCACTGTGAGTTCAAGGCCAACCTGGGCTACAAAAGTGAGCTCAAGGTCAGCCTGAACTGCATAGTGAGGCCCTGTCTCAAAAAAAGACAAAAACAAAACAACAACTTTCAAGAAATATCATAGCACTGAAGTGGAAGCAAGCCAAATGTCCATCAGCAGTAGAATGGATAAACTACAGTAAGTTCATACACTTTTTTACTGCTGTAATAAAGAATGGATTATGTCTCACACAGCCTGGGTGAATCAAACTAATGTTGAGTGAAAAACTCCAAACACACAGGAGTACATTTTGATAAGGCGAGAGAGACTCCATTTTTCTGTTTTTAACCCCATATTAAGAGAGGTCACCTTTTTCATTTAAGCTGTAGTGAGTCGCCTTGGTTAGTTATCAACTCAGGGTAGTTGTAAAACGGGAACAAAACAAACAGGATGAATTGGGAAGTGGGCTAAACGTTAAACTGTAGTGGTCATTTGGAATTCGGTTGTCTGACCTTCTGGCAGAAGTAAACTTTGTGATAATTGTGTGGCATTCTAGTGAGATTCCCCAAAATGAGCTAATGGTTATTATAGAAACCTAAAATGTACTTAAACTGAAGGTGAAACCCAAATTGGCATGGCATCTTCTCTGGCTCCTGGTTAGAGACTGTCCATCAGCCGGCTCCAATAAAGCTTTGTTCGTTTATGCCTTTTCGGTTTTCTTGTGAATGCCTTTCCTGATGAACTCGCTTGCCATATCAATTTAAGTTCCATTTATATGGCCTTCAAAACTTGGCAAGATTAGCCAGGCATGGTGGCCCACGCCTGTAATCCCAGCACTTGGGAGGCTGAGGCTGGAGGATTACTATGAGTTTGAGACCAGCCTGGGCTACAAAGCGAGCTCAAGACCAGCCTGAACTGCATAGTGAGACCCTGCCTCAAAAAGACAAACAAATAAACGAACAAACAGAAAACTTCGCCAGATTCATTTACACTGGCTGGCTGTGGTGGCGCATGCCTATAATCCCAGCACTCAGGAGGCTGAGGCAGGAAGATTATTGTGAGTTTGAGGCCACCCTGGGCTACAAAATGAGCTCAAGGCCAGCCTGAACTGCATAATGAGACCCAGTCTCAAAAAGACAAAAAAAAAAAAAAAAAAAATTTACAATGATGGCATTCAAAATGTATTCACTTGAAGGCTGGTGTGTAGCTCAGTGGTAGAGCGCTTGCCTAGCATGCTCTAAAGTGCAGGGTTCTATCCCCAGTCCTGAAAAAAAAAAAAACAAAAAAAACAAAGACAAAACAAAATGTACTTACCTTTTGTGGGGTGGTGATAGTTCTTCATCAGGAGGGGCGTAAGGGAGCATGCACAACGCTAGTAATGTTCCAGGTCTTTTTGTGTCATTTTGAGATAAGGTCTCACTGTGTAGTCCAGGCTGGTGTTGAATTCATGATCTCCTTTTCTCAGCCTCCCAAGTGCTAGGATCGTAGTTGTCACCACACCCAGCTTGTTCCAGTTTTTGAAGTAGGAAGTGGTTGTATGAATACACCAACATATAAATCCATGGGAAGGGTTTGTATCATTCATTATTTTTAGTGCATTCTGAAATAACAGATTATGTTTTTTTATCTGTTTTTGTGCCATGCTTTATTATTTGTAGGAGTGTTATTCCTTATTCTTAAAAATCATAATAACTTTGAGGAGTTTTAACCTAAATCCTTTTCTGTTGCTTATTTTTAGGTGAGAGCAGTTTTCCCTCTTGTGGGATGTAAGAAAGCTTTTCTAACCGCAGAACGCCCCCTGCTGTTGTTCTGGTGTAGTATCATTAAGGAAATGCAAATTAACCAATCCATACTTATCATAGAAGCCATTAAAAAACCCTGATAGGAAAATTTTAAAAATTTAAATATGGAAGTTTGTTCTCTGAGATTCGAAACTGTTTTAATTTTGATTGGAACCTTCTCTTTGCCTTTTCTCTTTTTTGTGTCTTGCTCAGCTTTGATTCTACTCCCTGTTGCTTCTCCCTAGCATGGGACCCTACTGTGCCTGAGGGGACCTGACAGATGAATTCTGAGAGTTCAAGGGAGCCGGCTGCTCTGGAGCTGTCAATCCTTGCTGAGGGGTGCTTGCCCTTGGATAGTATTAGAGCAAAAAGTCTCTCCCTTCTTGCTGTGTCTTTTGTACCTCTTGCTATTCGAGGTTTGAGTCCATCTGAAACTGCCCCATTTCTTCCTTCTTCATCCTCCCATACGAATGTTGATTCCATGCAGGTTTCCGTTGTTTTCTTTTCTTTTCTTTTCTTTTCTTTCTTTCTTTCTTTCTTTCTTTCTTTCTTTCTTTCTTTCTTTCTTTTTTTCTTCCTTTTTCTTTCTTTCTTTCTTTCTTTCTTTCTTTCTTTCTTTCTTTCTTTCTTTCTTTCTTTCTTTTTCTTTCTATGGTACTAGGGATTGAATCCAGTTCCTTTGCTCTAACCTACTTACCTCAGCCCTTTTCAATGTTTAAATTTTGAGACAGCTGGGTGTGGTAGTGCATGCCTGTAATCTCTGCACTCAGGAGGCTGAGGCAGGAGGATCATTGCGAGTTCGAGGCCAGCCTGGGCTACAAAGTGAGCTCAAGGCCAGCCAAAACTGCAGAGCAAGACCCTGTCTCAAAAAGACCAAAAAAAAAAAAAGACAGGGTCTCACTAAGTCATTAAATTGCCTAGGCTGGGCTTGAACTTGTGATTCTTTTGCTTCAGCTTCCCAGAGTGCTGAGATTAGAGATGCGTGCCACCATTCCCAGCTTCAGTTAGGCTGGTGACTATTGGTTGTCTCCACTTGCTTTAGGTTTGGAGTTCATGGGAATACTTTATCATTTAGTTTATTGTAACTGTCTGAAGAGTTTTGGTTTTGCTATCTAGCTGTATCCAGTCCATATGGGCTGCTATAACAGAATACTTTACACTGCGTGACATAAACAGCAGAAGTTTATTTGCCGCAGTTCTGGAGGCTGGGGAATTTACACTGGGGAGTTTACACTCCCAGCCTCCACTGTCAAAGTGCTAGCAGAGTCAGAATCTGATGAGGGCCGTTCCTCATAGATGGAGCCTTCTCTTCTGTGTGTTCTCACAAGGTAGAATGGGATCCCCGAGTCTCCTCTACAAAGG